AGAGAGTCCACACGCCCTCTCACCGTGCCAGTTAGTCCACTGTAGGGACATGCAGGGACACTCACAGAGAGTCCACACGCCCTCTCACCGTGCCAGTTAGTCCACTGTAGGGACATGCAGGGACACTCACAGAGAGTCCACACGCCCTCTCACCGTGCCAGTTAGTCCACTGTAGGGACATGCAGGGACACTCAGAGAGAGTCCACACGCCCTCCCACCGTGACAAGGAAGTCTGTGATGACCAGCGGGAGGAATAGCATACAGCTTGGGTGCCGGGCGGCTGGTGCAGACCCATGACAGATGCAAAGGTGTGCCATACCAACCGGCAAGGTCTGTAAAATGCACTGCCCCTTTTATTCCTGCTGGGGGCACTAGCTGCACCATACTCACACTAATAGATGTATCGGTCATCCCCTGTGCTTTAGAAGTAGGAGGAGGAGGTGAAGACAAAATCAGAAGAAGGGGACACCTTTCTGTGTGACACTTGGCTGCTCTGTTTCCATGGGAACATGGTCCTGGCTGGTTCCCGTAACCCACACCCGAGCTTACATTCCTATGCCTTGCTAACTGAGCAAATGTATGATGGCTTTTTCATCAACTCCAGCTTTCATTAGCAGGCCAGTGCCGTCGACTTTGCCTGCCCACCCCCGACGGGACGAGGTTTCCCGTGAGAGTCAGGCTACTCCCCCAGGACAGACGGGCTGAACTGGAAAGGCCCAGTTTGAGGGAAACTTCCCCTCCATTGTCCTCCTGATGGATTAAACAGTGAGTTTCCTGCAGGCCTCCACTAGCTTGCCTTGATTCCAGATTCACGATAAGGGTGTGTTCAGCGCCAAAGCCTGATTTTGGAGCATTTTGATTTCCCCCAGGGGACAGACATGGTGAGGAAGCCAGGTGTGTGGACATGCTGCCAGCATCACTGACATGGGGCATGGAGCTGGTGTGGTGTGGTGTGTGATTTGGATAAAAACTGTCTATCTATCTTCCATCTTATTGTGAGCAGGGTTGCCAGTTGGACGTGGGCACCTGTGCCACATGTGAGGTAGCACTGGCCTGGCCTTATCCCTCATCACCACAGACGTTGTGTGTCTGTGCCGAATGTGAGGTAGCACTGGCCTGGCCTTATCCCTCAGCACCACAGACGCTGTGCGCCTGTGCCGCATGTGAGGTAGCACTGGCCTGGCCTTATCCCTCATCATCACAGACGCTGTGCACCTGTGCTGCATGTGCGTCAATACTGGCTTGGCCGTATCCCTCATCATCACAGAAAAACAGCAGAGACATGTGGCCAGAGCCCATCCCTGAGGGGAGAAACACTGGAACTGCTGCCAAGGAGGTGAGACGGGCCACTTCCAAATGGCACTGGTGCCTGGCCCGGTCTGAATGAGCCGGACTCATGGAGTCCCCCCGGATTGGGACCCGAGGGGGCTCATCCTCCAAGCAGGAGCACAGAGCCACTCTTTGTGGCACCCTGTATCCACTTCATTGTGGAGGGAGTCGCTCCCCACCCCCCCGCTCCAGTCCCAGGGTCCGTGGACCTAAATGCAGCCCCTGTCATCCCAAGGCGGCTGCTTTCTCAGCTGCTTGCATTCAGGGGCCACAGAATGAGGGCCCTTGCAGGAGCACAGGCATTCCTGTCGCATTAGTGATTTCAAACATCCCCAAAAGGACAGTGAGCGCGTGCTGCTGCCTAGGAGGTGGATCTCCTGGAATGGCACCTGGACCAGGAAGCCATGCTTGTTGGGCTTCGTGATGCATCTGTACAGGTGCATGATGGGAACATGGGAGTGCTGCGAAGGCAGAAAGACATAATGTGAGCCAGGAGGGTGTCTCTGTGCCCCCACCCACGGGTGCGAGGCCCCCGCGATCTTCACAGGCACCAGCTGAGGTGCCCTTGAATGGAGCCCTTTAGCACTGATAGCAGAGTGAAGCTCGCCGGCGATTAGCCAACCCCCCCCCCCCCCTTACCTCCTTCCTCCATCATCCCCCCCCCGCTCGGCCTCCCACACCTCCTCTCCCCAGGATGAACACCCTCATTCTCTCTGCTCATCTGGCCCTCACTGCACACCCCCACCCCTCCCCCCTTCCTGACAGGTGCCCCCATGAAAAGCCCACCAGTGCAGAGCTGGTGGGGGTGGGGACGGGGGGGGGGGGGGGGGGGGGGGTGGTGTGAGTGATGGATGGAGAAGAGCCATGACGACAGGCAGCAAGCAGCCGCTCTCAGTGATGTCACACTTGGTGGGAGATTATAGCCAAAGCGGCAGAAAGTTCAAAAAGAAAATGTCCAGTGCGTCAGGGCAGCAGAAAAAGAGCAAAGTGAGGAATAGGGGTGTAGAGCATGGGCTTTATTTAGTTTTCTTTGGCAAAATGCCTTTTCCCCCTGGGTGGAGCTGGGGGGGCCCCATGCAGATGTGAGTCAGTAGTGTGCTGCTTGCATTCCTCAGGTCACTCCTCACACTCATTTACTGCTGCGAATCAAAGATCGCTGTTGTGCCATAGTGCAGGAAGGAGGGAGGAGCTGCATGCTTATCCTGCAGGCAGATACTGACACCTGCTGGTCTGAAGCAAGAATTGCTCCTGTTTTTACCTGCACTAATTGGGCTCCGTAGGCACGTCACACGCAGCCGCTGCTGGCGTCTTTCGCAAGGCTGCAATGCCTTCAGCAAAAAGATTAAGGTTTTTATCTATAACAAACAACTTTTTAGACACATAATCAATATGTTGTGCCAGCAATTCATAATGTTACAATCAATAACATTCACTCTCCACCAAACAATCAAGAAGTTCTTAAAATCTGAATTCTTCCTGAATATTTCAACCAGAAGCTTTTATTTAAAGTAACATACACTTGAGAGAGTAGGATCAGCTTAGGGCCTCCTTCAGGGGTCCAACAGTGACATCACTCTGCTGACCATGGGACCAGTGACCAGTGCTCGCAGAACCTGGCTGAGGAACAGTTTCTACCCCACATCCATCACACATGGCACTGATCTCCAACACGTTCCAAACTAAATCTCATTGTACTTACAATGACAATAGAGCACCTTTATCATCATCTTTATCATCATCTTTATCATCTTCCAATCACAGGCAGTGCCCTAACCCACAGAGCCACACCCTGCACCATACACAGGGCTGTAAGATAACACTGATTGGGAGGCATAAGGATATCAACAAATCAGGCCCCCGGAAGCTGGCCATCCAGTGGGGGAGGGGGGGGGGGCATGCTGAGTGGGATGTGAAGAGCTTGAATATGATGTTCTGCTTTAATGGTGAAAAAGAGGGGAGAAGTCCACTGGTAGAAAGAGAAAGAATAGGTAAAAAAAAAACAGTCCGAACAAGACAAAGTACAATAAAAACAGGACAGTGCAACAAGAGATGAACCTATAAAAGGCATTTTATAGAGTGAGAAAGCGTGAGAGTTGGCAGCCCTGCAACTCATTTGGCGTGACACGCTTTAAGACTTACTGTCAAGCAAGAAATCTCAAGGCACATTATTATTATCCCATTATAATTCTAAAATTAGCTGCATCAATAGCGTTGGGGCAGTTTGCAAACCCTACACATCAATTACAAGGTAATAAAACTCTTACATACATGTAAATGTGTGTGCAGACTTGTCTCGAAATGAAAATCTCACGCCAGCCAGCTGATCAAGGTTGGCAACCCTGAGTTAATGCAATACTTCAGGAAATTTTATTCGCCGTTACACATTTCAGTAGTGGTTCAATAAAAACAGTGGCAGAATTCACAGCTTATCTTAAAATAGAAGGAAAGGATATTTTGAGTTATACATTAAGAAACTCTTTTTTTAAGGTTATTATGGCAATCTGATAATAGTCTTGTAGTTACAGTTTATTGGAATAATTTATTTGGAAAATGGCTTAATTAGAAGAAGATTTGAATGATACCCAACAAACAAATGGGAAAATTGGGGTATGGTCAGACCTCTAGTTATGTATCGATTTAATTAAAAAAATAAAGGTGCGTATCTGCTGCCCGACGGTCCGGTGGGGGGCTGACGTAACGACGAGACTCCGCCCCTCGACTTGACGTTCATTGGTTCGGCAGCGCCTTCGCATCCCGTTGAAGAGGCCATCTTCTGTTTCTAAGGCCGAGAGATAGTCAGGACTGGCGTGATAGATTCGGGCGCGGTGAAATCCTTCTGTCCTGCTACGCTGGCTGGCTGTCTTGAGAAGCTTTTCGCTTTGGGTCCATGGTCGTGCGGAGCCACGCCACGCTGCCCTTAGGGGGCCGTGCTGACTGAACTTTCGGGCCGCTGTGCGTTGGCCGTTGGCCTTGCTTTTCTTGCCTGACGCTGGGCGGCGCTCATGAACAAGGGATAAATGGTGCCGAAAGCGGACAGCGGCGTGTTAGCTCCTATCGCCCTCCTCCTCGCCCTCGTCCTGACTGAGCAGCCCCGGACAGGTGAGCGCTGAAGGACGGGGCCGCCTCGTATCAACAGCTAGCGAGCTGGGAGACTGGGGTCAATAAACAACGCGCTAACTGACCAGATAGCTTTTTAGCTCGCTAACGTGGGACCGGTATAAAAGTTGCTTAGAAGTAGTACAGTTGGCAGTCCGACCCCTTTGTGTCCGGAGGAGTGACTGGCCCATGGAGTATGGCTGTGATTCTACGGCTGTGTGCGGCCCTAAGCGGGAGTGAGGACGGTGTGGGGGGCGGAGGAGAGCCGCGGGGAACGGGACAGGACAAGCCTGAGCAGCGGCTTTATTTCAGCTTGATGGTGTAAGCGGCTTACGGTAACAGGGCAACTTGATCACTGTATTAATTCCTAAGGAAAATGATTTGCAGCAGCACGCTGAGTAATTTAGACATCGATTATGTGTTGTTGTTGTTGTTGTAGTAATACATTATGTATCGGTATGTCTTCACATAAATTGTTAGCAGTGTCTGTCCCCTTTCTTGAAGTACCCAGAAGCTGTAGATCCTTTGCTGATCTCTTGCTCAGCTGTCTAAATGTGTTTATATATTTAGTCTTGGCGCTTTGGCTCAATATGCAAATAACTATGTAAATTGACGAGATGGCGTTGTATTAACTTGTTTAACACTGTTAAAGTCGTGAGTGTTCACCCCATGAGAATATGTATAGTGACCTAGTGCTCCCACAGCACCTTGTGTGCTGGTATGTGGAACTAGTGACAGTTGCTTGGTGGTGCTGTGCTTATTCCTGTCCCATATTTTGTTGCAGGTTCCCGGCTCACTGCAGCTCGGCGGCTGACAGGTACCCAGAAATCAGCTTGCAGAGTGGCTCTCCTGAACAGCCTGATCGCCTGCTCCCCTCGTTTGCCTTTGTGTATTTATTTGGGGGGGGGGGTTCTTGCCAGGTTTAACCTGGGGAGGCGTTTCTCCCTGATCGTTTGCTGGAATGGAGCTGCACCCCACCCTAACTGAAGAAGGCCAATGGCATGTGGCTGGGAGCTCACTGTTTGTCATTGGTGGCCCCTTGGATAAATGCAGCGGTTTTCCAATGCGATGCTTGCTTTCAAGTGGCGTTTCTGCTCCCTTTCTTGGGCACAGCAGTGTTTTTGTTGTATGCCACCGCGCCCCAGCTGACGCCCCCCTCCCATTTCAGAGCCGCACTGTCCTTCCGGGCAGTTCGATTGCCGCAGCGGCAGGATGCAGTGCATCCCTATGTCCTGGCGGTGTGATGGCTGGACGGCCTGCGAGGACAGGAGTGACGAGCTGCACTGTCCCCGTGAGTGACACAGAACCCACACACACTCGCCTGCTCCCTCTGTTGTCTCCAGTTCTGATATGTTCCTTAAAATCCACACGGTTGGTGCCGGGGGGGCTGTCCTGGGGAGTGGTGTTGGCTGGCCCCGTGGCTTTGGTGACAAGAGCGTCCTGTGTGTGATGCCACCTGCAGCTACAAGGGAGGCGCGCTTCCACCACGGGATCGGCTTGGAACAGGCGGAGGACGTTGTGGGCGTGGCCCAACCCATACGCTTCAGTAGTAAGACGCTGCCCTCTCCCGCTGAAGTATGGGGCATGTGCTCCTTGCCAGTCTTGGTAGATGTCTGTTAGGTATTCAGCCCACTGAGGCATGCCGGTAACACCTCTGATCCCACCTCAGTTGTATTTAATGGTTTAAAGCTACAGGTTTTGGTATAAAGTTTGGTATCAGAGTAAAAGACCCAGTGCCAGCCCTTTGAGGATTGTGGTGCTCTGATGCAGCCCCCGGGGTCACGCTCAGTGCATGAGACACCCTCTGCTCTGCCACAGGGAAATGCCCCACCGGGTGGCACCACTACGAGCAGACAGCCAGCTGCTACCGGGTCTACCCCGAGAGCAAGAGCTACTGGCAGGCACTGGAGACGTGCCAGAGGGTAAATGGCTGGCTGGCCACCTTTGTCACCAGCGAGGAGCTGCAGTTCATCCTGCAAATCGAGGTGGACGAGACAGTGTGCGGTCGCAAGGATCAATGCAAGTAAGCATGTCCACTGTTTGCTCTGCCGCCCTCCTCTCTGCCTGTCTGCCCGCCCCGCCCTCCTCCTCTCCGCCTGTCTGCCCGCCCCGCCCTCCTCCTCTCCGCCTGTCTGCCCGCCCCGCCCTCCTCCTCTCCGCCTGTCTGCCCGCCCCGCCCTCCTCCTCTCCGCCTGTCTGCCCGCCCCGCCCTCTCTGATTAGTGCTAGTAACTGTTGTTGCTGTGGCTGCTGTGTTGCAGGTTCTGGGTCGGCTACCAGTATGTAACTGTGACCAAGAACCACAGCCTGGAGGGCCAGTGGGAGGTGGCGAATAAGGGTAAGCTAGGGCTAGGGTGGCCAATGGGAGGTGACGAATAAGGGTGAGCTTTGGGTGGTGTGGCGGGTGGGGGCAGGATTGCTGAGTCTCTGTTTCTCATCACCTCTCTTGCTTCGTTCAGGTCCCATGCAGGTGTTCCTGCCTCCCGAAGGCCTGACCGGTTTCGCTGAGGCCTCGCCCAGCCCGGAGAGCGTCTTCTGTGCCCAGCTGCAGCGCTTCCAAATGAAGAGCATGAACGAGCGTGGCCTTCACAGCTGGCACGCTGAGAATTGCACCAGGAAATTCCCCTTCCTCTGCAAGCGGAGTATGTCCGCCTTGCTGACTGTGGCCGGCCTTCTTAGAGGCCTGTGTCTGTATGGCCACCATGTCGGGCAGCATGTCTCTTGGATCTCTTTCTCTGGAATGTTCTCTGCATGTTGGAATGTGTAGCTCCAGACACAGCCTGAGCTGATGGGTGTGAACCAGCTTCCATCAGCTTCTGTTAGCCCCACCTGAGGCATTAGTGTTGTGGCACTTTTTCACCCCCTGCTGGCAGTGAGAGTAACTGCTGCCCTTTCTTTGGCAGGACAGACGTGTGTGGACATCATGGACAATGTGGTGAGCGAGGGCTACTACTTCACGCCCAAGGGAGACGACCCATGCCTGAGCTGCACATGTCACGCCGGCGAGCCAGAGATGTGCGTGGCGGCACTGTGCGAGCGACCGCAAGGCTGCCAGCATTTCCGCAAGGACCCCCGCCAGTGCTGCAAGTTCACCTGCCTGGATTCTGGTACAACAGACCCACACTGCCAAAACAGTGCTGAACCCAAAATCGCAGACCTGACCTATATTTCTGAGATGTCAAAGTGCTGGTTTAATTTACATTTATTTAAACAGGGACAGTCCACAATAAAACATTTAACCTTGTATAAAACAACAAAAGTTGCATTGTACCAGGATTTTGCAAGTATTGCTATTTTCCACTTGTAGTCCCTGAGCAGGTAGATGGAACATTAAATTTAAGACAGAATACGATGTAAGTGGTGTATAGCTTTAATGTGGTCACTGAAACGGAGACTCCCATCCATCACTACAGCAAGATTTTTGACATGGGTTGTAGTGTAGTCTAAGTGCCTACCTAGAACCTAGGGTACTTAAGTTGCAACCTTCCTGTTACGACCCCCTTGGTCCTCCTGCAGTCAGTGCAGTGGCCATGCAGTGGCTGCATGTTGCAGTGGGGACATTAATTGCCCACACCTGGCGCCGCTTTGGGTATAAAAGCACCTGCAGATATTTTCTGGACAGCTTCCGCTCCTCTCTCATTATTTTACCTTGTTGGTCTCCCTTTTTTATGTTGTGGTCTTACACGAGCCGGTCGTAACATAAAAAATTTGGGGGCTCCTCCAGGATACTTGGTGGTGCAGGTTTTCAGGTGGGTAAGAACTTGCTGTGTGTCGTGTTTTGCGAACAGGGTACACTCCTGTAGGTAGAGCGTTCCAGTTTAGTCCGTTACGACTCTTCCTTCGGAGTGCTTTTTGTTTTTTTCTGTTTGTTGTGTCTGCGGCTAACTGCTAGAGGCATCCTTTGGGGTCTGGTGACTGACTGCGTTTTCAGTCTGTTGCCTACCCACGAGTTTACCGTTCAAAGTTGCCATCAGCTTGGTTAGCCGTGGAAGACTAGTAAGGTGAAGTTAGTTATGGATGGGTGAATTAGGGAAGGAGTGCTTATCGGTACAGTAAACGGTTTGTTTGTCGGTGACACCCAGTGATTTAAACTCGCCTGGTTTGTTTTATTTGAGAGAGAGTATTTGTGTGTGTGTGTGTGTGTGTGTGTGTGTGTGTGTGTGTGTGTGTGTGTGTGTGTGTGTGTGTGTGTGTGTGTGTGTGTGTGTGTGCTGGGGTTTTGCAGTTGTGTGTTTGCACATAGCCTAAAGCAGGGGTCTCCAACTCCGGTCCTGGAGAGCTACCATCCAGTAGGTTTTCTATCCTACCCGGCTTCTGATGAGCCACACCTGTTCTCAGGTAAATACCAGAAACAGGTGTGGCTCATCAGAAGCCAAGTGGGACAGAAAACCTGCTGGATATTAGCTCTCCAGGACCGGAGTTGGAGACCCCTGGCCTAAAGCTAATTGCCCCACAACCCAGGTTATAACAGCAATGTGCATGTTCGTCATTTCGGGTATGAAAGTTTTCTTTAACATCATTGTTGCGCTACAAAGTTTATAGTACAGGGGTCCATTCAGGGGTAGGTGAAGGCCTGTTGGGACTGGGCCTAGCCATGTGTCACCGCCTAGGGCTCCTACTAAGGTGCCTGATGTGAAATCTGATGTTGCCTGTTTTTAATGTGAAATAAAAACCTGGGCATAAAATCTGAGTGCCATGCTATGAAGAAGGGTAAGTTTCAATCTGTTGCATTGGTTGCATCCTCTCAGGACGGGTCTTACCGAGCCTGTCTGGCTGGAGGTATTAGTGAGCACAGGGTTGGCTGTGGTGTTAGTGATTACTTGCCATTTATTACCTTTGGTTCAGTGTCTCTGCCTGGTCAGGCTAATGTGCCTGTGCATATTCTGAGGGATACGGGGGCTGCTCAGTCATTTTTGTTGGAGGGAGTAGTGCCTCTTTCTGATGAGGCTGCCACTGGGTCCCATGTATTGATTACAGGAATTGAAATGGGGTTTTTGGAAGTACCATTACATTGTGCTTATGTATCTTCTGGCTTGGTCACCGGTAATGTAGTTGTTGGGGTATGTTCGTCTCTCCCTGTACCTGGGGTGGAAGTTATCCAGGGAAATGACCTGGCTGGGGGGGGAAATGTTTGGGAAAACAAAGTCGTATCACCGCCTGTGGTGGGAAGTCCTCTGTTTGCATCTCAGGGGTTGGATGAGTGTGGGAATAAATTCCCTCATTTTTTTTTCCTGCCTGTGCTGTCATTAGAGCAATGGCTAAACAATTAAGGGGATGTGAGAGACATGAGGGTTCCATCCATCTCCCCGAGGTGACTAGTTTGCCTGTTGAAGATCTTGCCCAAGGGGGGAGATTGGAGTGTTGATGGCAATTTAACCCATTTGGCTGTGGTTTGTCCAATAGTTTAAGCCCACTGGATTTACAAGATTGTCTGGTAGAATCAGGGACTGGTAAATTAGACTCAGGTTTGTCTGGGTTTAAGGTCCCTCTGTAATCTCTCTTCTTTTCAAAACGTCCATTGTCAGAAGTATTTAAAGTTTTTAAAATTATGTTAAATCGGCAAAAAAGTAAACCATGTCACCTTACTTTGTTTTACCTGCATCGGGGGCGTGTAGTACCGCTGTCACCCGAAGATCGCTATTCACATTCTAAATAGCTGCATTACCGCGTATTCAGATCGCATTCGCATGGTAATTTGATGAACAACGCAGCGGTGAAATGCGATCCAGATACATCCCCATCAGGGCCGGTATGCATAAAACTTCTCAGAGTAAAATTTCACTCTTAAATGCCTCACAATTCTAAGAGTAACGTGCTCCTACTCCCAGACTTAAGAATAAGTGCCTTGTGAAAATATTATTAAGTGTTAAGACTTGGTCTCAGCTCCTAAATTATTTAAGAGAGCTGGGGAGGACTCCTAAGCCGGTTATGACTACGCGCACCCAGACGGAGGCCGCGCACTTTCCATGAAAGAAAGGACGTACTGCGGATTTAGGATGATAACGAGTTGATAAAAAGATACAGGCTTGATCGTGAAGGCATTATTTTTGTTAGCAACCTAATTAGGAACCAGATACAATCTCCTATGTCACCTAACAATGCGCTTACAGTTGAACTGAAGTTGATAATGATGAAATGTTTTTGGCAACTGGAAAAATGTTATTGTTGTTGTTATTATTATTATTATTATTATTATTATTATTATTATTATTATGATCTATTATAGCGAGGGTCATAAGAGCAATGTAAGTAATGATACAAACCTGTAGCTTGCATGCTTGCTTTATAAACTGATTTCCTTTCACGAGGTCAACATTATACCACCTTTTTTCACATTCCTCTGCTGAACGCCTTGTCCGAGGTGACAAAGCACCTACGGAGCTTGCAATAGCCTCCTAAGCTTTTTTTGTCCGTGCTTGTAACAGCTGGGCCAAACTTCTGCTTCCATTTAAGCACCAACTGTGCCAAAAGAACCATTTTGTTTGTCGTCCAGTTTGGTTTTCTTTTAGAATCCAATGTCTTGCTATGAGTCATCTATTAGTGGAAATTGATTGGTGATGTGCTAGGTAGATTTTCGTACAACAAATTAAAGGTATGATCACAGAATAGTATGTTGTATAAAGCTCTACATTAACAGTTTAATGTCACTAATATATTCACCGTGCAGCTCCTCTATTGGTTGAACTCAGTATTTGGGGCAGGATTTTATTTGTAGTCCTTATTTCACGACACTTAAATGCTGGCTCCGTCAGCACTTAGGAATTGGGCTTAGACTTTGCTGAAAGTTACTTTTAGCAGCTTTATACAATGCTCTTAGGTCCTACTTTTTCCTAAGATTTTTTTAACTCTTAAGTCCAGGTGTGAATGGCTCATGCATACACATAAGAGCTCCTACATATTCAATGGAAGGAGGCCAGAAATAGTGACACGAGTTAGGTTTTTTATTTTATTATTATTTATTTATCCAGCTGCATGTCGCAAGTACACCATTTAGTCATCTTCATGTAGCCAAGACTTTGGTGATCAGATATCTGGGATCAAAACAAACTTCCACCATTGCTTACTATGTAGTTTTATAACGTTTCTGCAAGTGTTCCAAACTGCATTTTGCAATGTCTATACTTTGATGTCAAATTACAAACTTCACATAAATCTGGCATATTTACAAAGTACACTAATATTAAGATGAGTTTAATGGCAAAACAAATATATAAGAAATGATTTATTTGCCATTAATTAAGTTTATGATATTTAATGAAATGTGTGACCATGCCCCAGTCAGTGAAAGTGTTCCCTACCTCTAGATCCCAGAGGGTTAAAAAGGTTTTGGCCTTAGTGGAACCTGATGATGGTCTTGAGGGTGAGACTTCATATTATTTACATGAAGGGTTGTTGTGTCGGAGATGGACTGAGATGAGAGAGTTTTGGTAAAATCTTAGTTCAGGTAGTGGTCCCAGTTAAGTTCAGGAAGATGGTGTTGGAGCGTTCCCATGCAGGAACAGCTGGACATCTGGGTGTTAGAAAGACCTATGATCGGGTGACCTGTAGGTTCTTCTGGCCTGGGTTGAAGAAGGATATCTCAATGTACATCAGAGAGTGTCATATTTGTCAAATAACTGGCAAACCCAACCAGAAGGTACATGTGACCCCTTTACAGCCTATTCCTGCTGTGAGTACACCGTTTGAACACTTGCTTGTGGATTGTGTAGGGCCGCTCCCTCATTCACAAGCTGGGCATTGCTATCTTTTGACTATCATGTGTCAGTCCACTCATTACCCTTCTGCCTATCCGCTTCGGTCCATTACCTCTTGTTCAATCCTCAGGGTTATGACCAGTTTTATGTCCCCTTTTGGGATCCCACGGGTTATACAATCTGACCAAGGGACAAATTTTATGTCTAAACAGTTTGCGAGGGCATTGCATTAGCTCAACGTTAAACATAACTTTTCAAGTGCTTACCAGAGTCAGGGAGCTCTGGAAAGATTTCATCAAACTTTGAAAGCAATGTTGAGGTCTTTTTTGTGTTGAACTTGGTAGTGACTGGGAGGAACGTCTTCCAAGGCTATTATTGGCTATTCGTGAGGTTGCCCTGGAGAGTATTGGGTTTAGTCCCAACGAGTTATTTTGGCTGATGAGTGGAGTACTAAATCACCTCCTGATAATGTTTTGGATTATGTTAGTGGGTTCAGATGTCGCCTCTATGAAGCCCGTGCCGCAGCCAGAAAAGCGCTAACAAAATTTGTGTAAGATGCAGCATTTATTCGATGGTAAGGCTGAGACTCAGGTTTTTGAAAAAGGGGATCAGGTGTTGGCCTTGTTACCTATTATTGGTAGTCCATTCCAGGCCCATTTTGCTGGTCCCTACATGGTTGGTAAACGCCTCTCTGATCACAACTATTTGATAAATACATCTGACTGGAAGAAGGTGCAGGTTTGTCATGTTAATCTTCTTAAAGCTTATTTCCTCTCTTGTACCTGTTGGGTTGATAACTCCTCCTGCACATCCCCCTCCTATTTGTAGCAGGTTGCTTGAGGCGATGCTATTGCAGAAAGAACAAGATGGGGGTGGTTGTACTGTCTCCTGAGATTACTGAGGGACGGTTAAATAATTCCGAGATGCGGGCAGAATTGCATAAACATCTCTGACAGGGAAAGGACTGACATTATTGAGTTGGTTGATGCTTTTCCATCTCTCTTTCCAGATGTGCTAACTCGTACCACAGTCATTGAACAAAATATCGATGTTTGTGCAGCCCAGCCTATTAAACAACATGCCTATCGAGTAAATCCCACAAAAAGGGCAATATTGAGGAAAGAGGTGGAATATTTGTTAAATGATTTGGCTGAGCCCAGTTTTAGCCCATGGAGCTCGCCTTGCTTGCAGGTGGGTAAGCCGGATGGAGGTTTTGTACAGATTATAGAAAGCTGAATACTGATACAAAACCAGACTGTTTTCCCCTTCCCTGTGTGGATGATTGCTCAACTAAATTCATTAGTAAATTTGATTTAGTAAAGGGGTATTGGCAAGTGCCTTTGACCCAGCGTGCTAGAGAGCTATCTGCTTTTATTACTGCAGATAACTTCCTTCAATACAAAGTTATGCCTTTTGGGGTTCGGAATGTACCTGCCACCTTCCAACGATTTATCAACTATGTCTTATGCGGAATGTCTGGGTGTGAGACTTACCTGGATGATGTAGTTGTGTTTAGTTCCACCTGGCCAGAACATCTTGGGCAGATTTAAGGAGCTTTTTCAACATTTATCCAGTGCTGATCTCACGGTTAACCTTGTGAAGTGAGTTTGGCAAGGCAACAGTTACCTATTTGGGTAAGGTGGTTGGTCGGAGCCAGGTTCGTCCCATAAGTGCCAAAGTTGAGGCCATTTGTAATTTTTCTGTGCCTTCCAGTCGCCGGGAATTGCGGTGGTTTTTGGGAATGGTATGGTACTATAGAGGGTTTTGCCAGAATTTCTCAACAGTTTTCACTCGTTTGACTAACCTCCTTAGTAGTAAAATTCCTTTTGAGTGGACAGATGCCACCCAACAGGCCTTTGTGGCTGCTAAAGCGCTACTAGCTAATGCTCCTGTCCTGGCTGCTCCAAGGTTTGAAGAACCTTTTCAGTTAGCTGTTGATGCCAGTGACTGGGGTGCGGACGCTGTTCTTCTCCAGATAGCTCCTGATGGAGTTGAACGTCCAGTATGTTTATATCTCAAAGAAATTTTACAGCCACCAGTTGGGCTATTCTACTGTGGAGGAGGAGGCTTTAGCCCTTGTCCTGGCTGTTCTATGCTTTTTGAAATTTATTTGAGTAACGCCTGTAGTCCTATTACTGTCTACACTGATCACAACCCATTGGTATTTGACAGGATGCGGAACTCTAATCAGATTATGCGCTGGAGTCTTATTCTTCAGCCATATCCCCTAAAGAGAATGCATGTTAGAGGTATTGATAATGTCATTGCTGATGCTTTGTCTTGAGCATAATTACTCTGTGGTAGGTTCTATTCTTTGTTTCTCTAGTTTACCTTTGGCTCTGGGGATGCTGGGGGAACTTGAGATGGGACCGGGTCGTAGTGGGTCTCCTGATTTATTTAAAAATTTTTTTAATTATTATTATTTTTTCTTTAGGTTTCCTGTAGGAACCCTCTTGGGGTGGGAAGTGTTACGACCCCCTTGCTCTTCCTGCAGTCAGTGTAGTGGCCATGCAGTGGCTGCATGTTGCAGTGGGGTCATTAATTGCCCACACCTGGTGCCGGTTTGGGTCTAAAAACACCTGCAGATATTTTCTGGACAGCTTCTGCTCCTCTCTCATTATTTTCTGACAGTCACGCACCCCTGCATTTTATTCCTGCATTTTGCATTTCAACCAGGCATAGATAAACGCTTACCTCTAGATGGGTTTTTTCCCTTGTGTTTTGATCTAGTTTTCCTAAATTATTACCTTATTGTTGGTCTCCCGTTTTTTATGTTGCAGTCTTAGCGAGCCGTAACACTTCCCTCTTTGTGTGCGCTTTAACACTGCAGGAACTTTTTTCAAGAACCAGAACCTTGTTCCCGAACCAGGAACTTTTGTCACAACACGGCGATTGGGCTCGATTTTGAAGTTCCTCCGGAGGCTATTCCGGAACCCTTGTTTAGTATCTACGCAAGACTAGGTACTTTTTGTTCTAACACACTACTGGGGAGGAGATTGGTTGACATCAGGTACTGCCACTCAACTTGCAATTTAAGGCAAGTGTGGGGAAATGAGAGAATTAGTAGAGCAAAAATTGAGCAAATGGATTTTTTTTTGTACATCGGGTACAGTTCATGCAACAATGAATACCATTGTTTGGGGGTGGCTGTGTAGTTTCATATAAAATTTTGTGTGAGGTTTTACCTAGGAGCCTTTTGCGTCTTCCTTGCTTATTTAGCATAAAGGTCCCAGTTCCTGTTGTGCAGTGCGAAAGTGGCACACAAGTGGCCAGGAGCTGCAAAAGTTCCCAGTGGAGATAGTTCAGCATCCCACTTTTTCAAGGCACAAACACAATGAGGCAATGGGTCTGAAGTCATTTGGTGAGAGAGCTAAATGCATCTGGGTGTTGTCTGCATAGCTATAAGCCACCTTGTACTCTTACCAAGAAGGAGCATGTATAGGCTGAACAAGAGTGGCCTAAGAATGGATCCCTGTAGGACTCCGTATGGCTTGCCGGTTTTCTCTCATAAGTGCTGCTACAGACAAAATAACACCTGCATTCTAAGAAGGCCCTGAACCTTCATGGACGCTTCCCCAGAGTCTGACCCAATTTTCTAACCTGTCTAGCAGTGTTTCACAATCGAAAATATCAAAGGTTACGCGAAGGTCTAAGAATGCCAGGGCAGTTTTACCCGAGTCTGTATTCAGGCAAATGTCATTTAATATCTTTACGAGAGCAGTGTCAGTATTGTGATGTTGATGGAATCCTGATTTGAAATCGAAGTAGGCATTTATGTTTAGTTATTGATTTGATTTAAGAATTACTTTCTTGGTAACCTTCCCTAATGAATGGAAGGTTTGAAATAGGCATATAATTAAGTGAGGAGGCATCCAGGTCTCTCTCCTCAAGATGTCAAAAACTGGTGTTTGCTGTCCCAGTCTATCTTCAAGACCACGGGTGGCCAATCTTATCCGCAAAGGGCTGGTGTGTATTAAGGTTTTTGCTGCAACTCCCTAATTAGATTACTAATTAAAGGACTGATTGGCTGAAGAGTCACACCTGGGTTTGAACAGGTTATCCCAAAAGCCTGCATACACACCGGCCCTTTGCGGATAAGATTGGCCACCCCTGTTCAAGACGGTGACTTGTGTATTGAAATGACTCTGGTGAAACTGAAGATTGGGGTGTAGTGCACCCTGACCCTTTCCCGGCGCGTTTGTGCTGCTGCACTGATTCTTTTATCACTTGCTTTGTGTAGATGTATATTGGGAAGGCAGTTATTGAGATTCGGTTTTGTAAATGTCAGTTGCTGAAAGTCTGTCCTTCACGTTTGCCTCTCCCCCACCCAGATGGAAACGGTCTCTTTGACTCCATGGCCAGCGGTCTGCGGTTGATGGTCAGCTGTGTCTCTTCCTTCCTTGTTCTCTCGCTGCTGCTCTTCACCATCCACCGGCTCCGCCAGCGCCGCCGCCAGCATATTGAGACTCTCATTGGGGAAAACTGTAAGCGCCTGCCTCTCCCCAGCCCCCCTGACTCTCGTGAACTGCCTAGTAACGGCCTCGTCTCCCTCCCCCAGTGCACCCCTTTGGCCGAGGTCGTAGGATGCCTGGGTTTGAGTATGACCCGCGAGGGTTCGGAGCCAGCCTCGCACCCCTGCGGCTGTCCGACGATGGCGCCGGTGGGGCTTTTCGCTTTCATGAGCCGCCCCCTCCCTACGCCGCATTCAAGTACCCTGACATGCCACCCCCGGAGGACCCACCCCCGCCATACGAGGCCTCCATCAGCCCCGATGCCATGCTTTATGTGGATTTGGGTACGACCCGCCTGTCTCCCTTGTGGTCCTGACTGTATGGGGTTCTGGGGCTGTCCTGCTGGCTCAGCAGGGGGCGCTGTAATGTCACACCTGAGATTGCCTGGGGGAAGCCCTGGCCCTCCATATCCTCCCCATGTCCGATGGATGGATGGATGGATGGGGTATAATTTGAAAATGAAGATAATTAGAAGAATGGTGTAGTTCGTGGATCTCTTTGGATTCGCCTGCACCATTTAGCCTCCTGCTGATCTCAGGCAGCTGCTGCAGCTCCACATAACTGGGCAGCACCATGAATCCCGAGCTGTTCTGGGTCTGTAGTGTCTGGGATGCCGCTGCCCCCTGGTGACCCACATGCTGGCTGTTTACTGACTGACTGCTTTTTGCAGGAAGAGATGGCTCAGTCACCACAGATGGCCACCCCTCCAGCGTCGAGCCCTGCCATCCTCAGCGAGCTACCCAAGAGGAGGGCTCCACATCAGGGCGCCCCCCGGTGGAGCATGAGGACTCTGTTGACAGCAGCACCTTCCTGGTGTCCCCGGATACCCCGATGGGTAGCACCATGACCACTGTGTCCGCCCGTACCAGCATCTGCTCCCTCAACACTATCGTGTAGGGCCAGAGGCGGGGTGGGGCGTGTCTGGCAGGGTGGGGTAGGGAGCTGTGTGCCACGAAGTGAAGCCCTGTCTCTTCCGCAGGCTTCAGGTAAATATGACACATTTGTGGGTTTTTGGCAGAGCTCTTCAATGGATCTTAGCAGGCTGCTGCATATGCTAGGTTGGCCTTTTTGGTGGGTGTGGGAGACCTGCATTCTGATGCAATCTGTAGCAGTTCACCTTGGGTATGTATTACGGGGGGGGGGGGGGGGTTGCCCATCAGGAGTGCTGTGTTCCGGTATGACTTCACCACCACCTGCTCTGCCTAACTTTAGATCCCTGTGGAACATGGCACTGTGGGAGCTGCCATCTTTGCCCATCTCCTCCTGCACTCTTTCCATCTTGCTGGCAGGTTGCTGGTTTGCAGGTATCTGGTGTATTCCTGCACTAGCCATCGTCACGCAGGGTAATAATGGCTGATTTGGACAAAGACCTGGGAGGTTCTGCAAACATTTAATATGTGGTGCACAATGCTGGAGACGGAGCTGTACTGTCAGCAAATGCTGGGGGTCTGAGCTCTAATACCTCCTGGGGGGCTTTGAGACAGATGCACAGGCAGCTGTTCCGTCCCCCACAGCTCTTACTGCCAGGGATGCAAACTAGTCATCTTTCGGTGAAATTTTGCCATTTTGAGCCCAATATAGGGCACGTGTGATTTATGTAGATCCGATGAGTTTTTGAAATGGGGGGGTGGGGGGGGGTCTGTGAGGATGGAGACATGGGTAAACATATCCTCTCCTGGGAAAAACAAAAAAGCTCCTGGCTTCAAACTCTCACTCGCAAATGCAGCGTATCTGTAGACTGAAGAGGGTTCGATGATTGCCACTCCTTGAAGTACAGTAAATGCGGTCCAGCATTAACCAAAGACAGCGATCGTCTCCCAGACGCAGGTACGCAGGTGTGGCATGCAGTGTGGGTTTGTTTAGTATCTGTGAAACATGACAGAGGGCAGTTACAGCACTCCAGAAAAGCCTGATCAGCCTGAAGTGTGAAGTGTGGTCGTATATTTGTTTTAATTTTTGTCATCACCGCCTATGACTTTATAGCGAAGGTGAGGTAGGTTAACTTTTAGCTCAGTGTATGCTAATCGCTTGTCAGTAATGTAAGCTGAAGCTTTCAATGTTGCCGTCTCACAAACACATGTCGTCGGTGGTGTAGTGGAGCTGGTGCTTTTCGCTTTAGCCTCAAAGCCAGCTGAATGCCCGTTAGCTGCGGATGGCCCAATTGGTGTCCCATTTGTAGTGATTTTTTCCCCCCAATGTACTTGGTTTGCTTTGGGCACCAAATTGGGGTCAAAAAATACAGCAAACTGAAATCTGATACTTTTCCATTTTTGCTTCTGTACATCCCTTCCACCTTATTCACCCCTGATGAGTTTGCACCCCTGACTGTGCACCCTGTGCCTGAGGGGGAGGGTTAGTGGGAGGGGACACAGCCATCACAGTGCACAGTAATATGCTGAAGTCTGAAATAACCAGCTGTTCTTGAGAGAAAATCACATCTGCAGTAACAATGGCGCAACCCTGCTCTTCAGCATCACTGAAGAGTGGATGATTTGTCTGTGAACATCATGCTGTTAATCTGGTATTTTTTGCTCCCCTTATTCTGTACATTATTTATAAACTCCTTCCCTGTGTGTGGTTGCGTGTGTCAGTCATAGATACATAATTGGTACTCGATTGCACTCACCTGGATGCAGAGGTGGCAACCTAATGTACGCGGTGAACACGGTGCAGCCTGGACTCCTGTCATCTGCACTATGGAGATCCTGCCTGGTTTTTGAACGGACTGCAGGCTGTGAGGCTGCCTCTCAACACCGGGTAACCAGGGCCTGTGACAGGTTACTGACTTGCATTTGGAATGAAGATGTCTGAGGACTATTCCGTGCTTTTCTGTTTCTTGGTTTGTCAAAACCAAGAAACCAAGTAATGTTCCGCGTCTTCACATTCTGCTGCAACGTGTCCTGGAGGGTCTATTTCATTTTCTGATGATGCATGATGTCCTTTGGACACTTATGGAGGCACCATATTATGCTGCGTTTATTTGGTCAAGAGGTCTTTGGGCCATTTTATGTGTTAGAGGCCCCCCCCACTTTTTTATCTTTATTTTATTTTTTTTACTACTATGGTATATTGTGGACGGGGGGTGGGGCGGGACCTGTATTGATAACATTTTGCTAAGGGAGGGTGGGGTGTTATTAAAATGTTAAACAAAGGTGGTTGAGGCCCCTTGTTAGTGAGCCACGTGGGCTTCAGTCTGGGAGAACCCATGCATTAAAGCGCCCCTGTCTGCGTCAGCCTGGGAGAACCCGTGCATAAAAGCGCCCCTGTCTGCGTCAGCCTGGAAGAACCCGTGCATTAAAGCGCCCCTGTCTGCTTCAGCCTGGGAGAACCCGTGCATTAAAGCGCCCCTGTCTGCTTCAGCTTGGGAGAACCCGTACATTAAAGCACCCCTGTCTGCGTCAGCCTGGGAGAACCCGTGCATTAAAGCGCCCCTGTCTGCTTCAGCCTGGGAGAACCCGTGCATTAAAGCGCCCCTGTCTACGTCAGCCTGGGAGAACCCGTGCATTAAAGCGCCCCTGTCTGTGTCAGCTTGGGAGGACCCGTACATTAAAGCACCCCTGTCTGCGTCAGCCTGGGAGAACCCGTGCATTAAAGCGCCCCTGTCTGCGTCAGCCTGGAAGAACCCGTGCATTAAAGCGCCCCTGTCTGCGTCAGCCTGGGAGAACCCGTGCATTAAAGCGCCCCTGTCTGCGTCAGCCCTTCAGAGACCAAGTCTGACATCCTTAGTGCTGAAACAGCCTTCCACAACTGCTGCACTTGCAAAAGTTTGAAGTACATCTTTTGTGATACACACTTTCTGTAATCATAGAAAAAGGAAAATGGTTTTGATATTAAAAGTTCTGTGTAGACATCAGTTTGGAGCATTTAATTTCTTTCTGGTGTTTCAGATGTAATTTTTTATTTATTTAAATGAACATTCTCGGTATAGAATTCACCTTGAACTTGGGCATAGAACTGTCAAAATAACTGTATACAACAGTTACCAGTGGTTGTTTGATGCTTTTACGCTTAAGTTCAAGGTTTTTTTTAATCATACTCAGTGACAAAAAAAAGTTAAGCACCCAGAAGTAATGGTCCAATTTGGATGTAATTTGGTACACATGCAGACCAGCGATGGGTTTGTAAATGATTTGCAAGGAGCTGGCATGTCTAGTGACCAGATACAGAGGATGCCTTGTAGACGCATTAGACAGCATTACCCGCATTTGACGGAGTTTGATAGGGGTCACATTGTGGGTTTGGATGAGGCCAGGTGGTCTTATTGTGCAATTGCCTGGCATGTGAGGCATGCAGATGTCACATTCGCCAGATATTGGAACCAATGGGCACGAGGGCATCCACACATGTTGTGAAGGTTCCGGTCACCCAAGACAGAACGAACCAAGGGAGGATCGTCGTATTGTGTGCCAAGCATTACAGAACCCCATGTTATCCTGCACCTTGTCTCAATGACTGGCATCAGCCGGACTACGACTTAACTGTCCTATGCGTAGACTGCTGTTAACACCAGTGCAGAGAGGGCTGGGTTTGGAGTGGTGCTGTAACTGGAAGGCATGGACTGAGGACGAATGGTGTCATACCATGTTCAGCGATGAATCTCTGTTCTGCATTACCACGGATGACCATCGTGTGTGTGTATGGCAGCACCTAGGGGAGAGGACCAATCCTACCAATGTTGTCCAGAGCCACACCGGTGTTACTCCTGGCATCATGGTGTGGGGAGCCATAGAGTATGACTTCAGGTCATCACTGGTAATGATTCGGGGGACCCTGACGGCGCAGCAGTACGTCAGTGACATCCTGCGTCCATATGTCTTACCCCTCCTGAGACAGCACCCTGGTACAGTCTTTCAACAAGCCAGTGCCCGTCCACACACAGCACGTGTGTCTAAGGACTGCCTGCATCATGTTGAGGCATAAATTCAGCTTGGACCTGCCTCAGCATAAATACTTCCACCTGTAAAAAAAATTCGAAACCGAAATCATCCGAGTTTGAACTTCATCTCCCCAAAGCCATTTCCTTAACATTGATGCCCATTATAAGGAAAAAGCTTAACCTGGCTTAATATACCAAAACCACAACCAAAAATCCTTCAGACATAGACTGTATGGACAAAAGTGTTGGGACACCTTGCCAGTACACCTACAGGAACTATTATGACATCCCATTCTAAATCCATAGGCATCTGGAAAGGCTGTCCACAAGGTTTAGGAGTGTGTCTACAGGAATTGCTGCCTATTCATCCTGAAGAGCATTTGTGAGGTCAGGCACTGATATTGGACGTGAAGGTCTGGCTCACAATCTTCATTCTAGTTCATCCCAAAGGTGTTGAATGGGGTTGAAGTCAGGGCTCTGTGCAGGCCAGATAAGTTCTCCCACACCAAACTCACTCAACCATATCATTATGGACCCTGGGGCACAGTCATGCTGGAACAGAAAAGGATCTTCACCAAACTATTCCCACAAAGTTGAAAGCGTCAAATTATACAAAATGTCTTAGTATGCTGAAGCATTAAGAGTGCCCTTCATTGGAAATAAATGGCTTATCCAAATCCCTGAAAAACAACCCCACACCATTATCCCTCCTCCACTACACTTTACAGTTGGCACAATGCAGTCAGACCGGTAACATTTTCCTGGTATCTGCAAAAAATAGATTTGTCCATCAGACTGCCAGACAGAGAAGTGTGATTCATCACTCCACAGAACACTTTTCCACTGCTCCAGAGTCCAGTGGTAGCATGCTTTACACCACGCCATCTGACACTTGGAATTGTGCTTGGGGATGTGAGGCTTGCATGCATGAAGGTTAATACCAGAGGACGTTTGGAACTCTGCCACCGGCCCAGCCCCACGGTCATTACATACTGTATGTATATCCCTGTATATAGTACAGTGGTGCCTGCGGTTCACGAACGCTGTGGTCTACAAAAAATTTGGTGTGCGACCAAAAATTTTGTGGAAAAAAAATGCATTGGTTCGCGTACAAAATTTGGCCGTCGAACAGATTCCTCGACCAGATTCCTTTTTTTATACTACTGTAGCAGCGGCGGCGCGCATGTCCCAGTCATGCCCCGCGTGCAATTGTAAATAGAAGTACCACAACAGGCACCCAACGAGCACGGAACCCAAATACACAGACGGGAAACACAAGGTTGAAAGCCGAACAGCAAGATGCACACACGGTGGAAGATTTACGCACGCTAAATACATGCGAGGGTCGGACCGGGTACACACAAGACACGGGCAAACACACACGGGACAATGGGAAAATGCAACTATTAATATTAACAACAACAGCAATACAAGGGTTAAGGACTGTTAATAAAGAGCGTGATTTCCCTGGCAAGCAAGTCTTCACAGTCTCTGCTCCCGCGATGCCTCGGTCCGCCCGGCGCCACACTATGTTGTGTTTTTCTTTGTGTTAAAATTTTTACTGTAAAAACTAGAAAATTAATTAACAAAAAATATTATTTGGTAGGCTTGTGAACGAATTAATCGAATTTCAATGCTTTCTTATGGGGAAAGTTGCCTTGGTTCGCGTACAAATTGGTTCACGACCACTTTCGTGAACCGCAGGCACAATTCTATAGATAGTACTATATCTAATCTCTCTTTCTCTTTTTATACAGTTTTAAATAGTTTTTACCCATATTTCCTCTGAGCATTGCAATAAGCATTTCACTGCAGGTTATAATATGTATGATGATGCATGTGACAAATAATATTTGAATTTGGCCAAAGTATAGGTGCTTGGTTTTATATAGCCTACCCGTGGCAAGGGGCCTGAACGGGACACCGGCTCTACGCTGGGGCAAGAGGGGGCAACGCCCCCTTAAACAAACGTCCTGCCCCCTTAAATCAAACTTTTAGAAGTTAAGGAAGAAAATAATAATTACCCACAAACTGAATATGGACAAGATTTACTACAGTAGCTGAAAAATCCACTGAAAAAGGCACAAACGAGATGATAAGTTTCACTTCTTGTTCGCTCTTTCCCTCCGCGTTCTGTTTGTGCAAACGCTCACACAGCACTCGGCAGAGATCCCCCACTCACCCTCCCCCCAGCTAAACATCCAATCACTGATAGTATGTAAATGAGCCAGTTTCTCAGTAGGCAGGGCAGAGCGAAATGAGTTGCGCGATTGCAGGAGGTTTAGAGGAAGCAGCAATCTCTCTCGTCAAAATCATAACGACTCGTGAAATCATGGTTCGCATTACTGGGGGTACAGTACCCCCCTATCAAGACAAAAATAACAGTTTGGGGGGGGGGGGTCTTAACATTATTCTTTTGTTTTTTTTTTGTTTTTTTTTTTTAAAAAGAAAGAACGATAACCTCACCTTGTAGGAAAATTTAATGTAAAACGATTTCAGACCGTACCATTTTAACCACCTCGGCGTTAGAAGCAGCTTAGCCAGTCGGTTGCGTCATTCATTCTCATTGAGCGACTTGTTCGTTGTGATTTCAAGATTTCAAGATTCTTTATTCGTCACATACATAGTTATTACAAGTACAACATGTAGTGAAAGAAACCCCTATATTTCAAGACTTGGTGAATTGATTTTTTCTTTTTCATAACTTAGCCTACCCTTTTTAGTTTTGTTAATATTGGCAACAGTGAAAAGTGTTTTGTTGGGTTCAAATATGTTTGATATAGGCCATCTAATTAAGGTAAATGTCATGTTTTTAGTTTTTTTTAATCTGATGAGGAATATTTTATTTTATTTTTTGTTGTTTTATTTTTCAGTTTTCCCCCCGAGGGATTGCCACCTTACCGTGGTCAGGGGCTTTGCGTGCGTCAGTGACCCTAAGAGCTACACCAGCAGAAGCTTAGCCTTCAGGTGGGACCCCCAAGTTGGACAGGTCTTAGGGTAGAGGCCTGACAAAGTGCAATCCCATTACATGACAAAAACAGTTATCCAGACCACCCCTTTCCCGCCTTCGTCGCCACCATGTGCCCCCTTCACATTTCTGTCTGCCCCCTCATATATGCCTGTCTATAACCGGTCCCAGGTCTGAATGAAACATCTGAATTCAATGATTAAGAAGTGTGTCCCAATACTTTTGTCCATACAGTGTAGTTCCGACATTTCCAGGTTTGATAAATCCGACTTTTTGTGCGTATGCACTTTTTTAGAATGAAATTTAAGCCAAGTTATATAAACGAGACCCCTTGGTTGTCCAAGTGATGAGTTAGTGGCGCTGAGCACAGGTATTGCCACTAGGTGTCACTGTAGGAGCAGTTTTAAAGCCACTTCCATGCAGAATGACAAATTAAGTTTCATTCTGCATTCTCCCTAACAATAATATATTTCTTTGCATTTTTTCTCAAGCCATTTATGATTAAAGTTTAAAAAATAAAAATGCAATAACAAAAGTCGGTTAAAGGTTGTGAATATATTTCATTTTCTGTATATAATCAGGTGTTGTGCTTTACAATAGTATAGTCCTCTTGGTGTTACTGGTATTTTTAATGTATGTATTTCTTCTGCTTGCATCTGTAAATTTGTATTAAAAAAAAAAAAGAAATTGTAAAGCAACAGACTACATACAAAGCATCCATTTTCCAAAACCGCTTATCTTGTATGGGGTCGCAGGGGGTCCGGAACCTATCCCGGAGGTTATGGGTGCAAGGCAGGGAACAACCCAGGAGGGGGCGCCAAACCATTTCAGGGCACACACACATCTATGGGTAATTTAGCAACTCCAATTAGCCTAAGCATGTTTTTTGGACTGTGGGGGGAAACTGGAGTACCTGGAGGAAACCCCAAAACAACATGGAGAGAACCTGCAAACTCCACACACGGAACCATCCTGGAGACACAAACCCTGGTCCCAGAGGTATGAGGTCACACTGCTACCCACTGCAGCACTGCACCACTGCAGCACTGGGATCCCCCCACATGCACAACAGACAATCATAATGTGCAGTGCCGTTATTGGGAGGAAATTATCTTTATGTGAAAAGAACAGTGGCTTATTTTCATGTTTACTACAATCTGCATTACCTGTTTAAGACAGAGGTGTTTTGTGGTATGACTGCAGTTACCTGGGACATACGGCTCTGTATCTGTAACCAGAAGCCATTTCATTTGTTTGGGGGGGCCTGGCTGATAGCAGCGTGGACGTTCATGTTGCCCAGGAAAGCCTTAATTTAAGCATTAATCTACCCCTGGCTGTAATTGGCAAGTTATATGACTTGTTAGGCAGCTAAATGGAACCTCAGAGGCCATCGTGCTAAGAGGACGTATGCGTGAGGTACAGAGCTTTACAGCGGGACTTCTTACACACGGACTGTTTATTTCATGTGTAATTACATCACACCAGTGAATATACAACAAAACTAGAAATTGATTATTTCTCCACTTTCCTAAAGAAGTTTAGTTATTTACTGGCTAAACTTTATAAACTTGCTACCACAAGTCAGTAACATGTGTTGTATTAATTGTCAATATAACAAGTTGGTTTGGCATTTTTAGGCAAGTATAAAGGCATTGGCGTCCTGGAGACAAGCCTGGTGCCAAAAATATTTATTCTACCAAAATATTTAAAAACAAATTTGATAAAAAATCTAATTAGTGTTACTGTCACAAATCAAAAGAGAATTTCAACATGAATTGATTCTAATTCTAATCATCTATGGAGAAACAGGTGAAAAGTAACTATGGGTCTGATGTCGTTCATCATGCTGACGCTGTGATGGCTTAGCATGGACCATATACTATATAAAACAGCTGACAAACATCTGTAGTGTGTTTGATAAAGACCTATAACTAAAAGCTAAATTGGTGAAAATGCTATAAGAGCTCAATCTTCAGCCTTCACCTGTAGATTTGGAATCATCAGTGTGAAAGCTCCTCGCGCCTTCATACGTCTGTGAGGCCGCACAGTCTTCGCTCGCCTCGCCTGCTGCAGCTCAGTGTGACGAGGCTGTTCCTGCTTTCTGCTTCACTCTTCCTGGGTTCTCTACCTTTGCAGTGCCCCTGACCAAAGCCTTGCTGTGTGGCAGAGCCCCCGCTGCCTTCTTCGTCCGGATGCTCCTCGCTGCCATCACCTTGGAGTCAGCATTCTCAGACAAGCCCTCACTGTTCAGGCTGAAGGTCTCCGACTTTGTGCGGCGGGCTTTGGGCCTGGTGCTGGTCGCAGCCCGGTTCGGGACTTTGCCAGGGAGAAGCGAGGGCACAGAGAGGGACTTGTGCCTCCCTACCAGACTCTGGTCTTCAGTCTGGTGTGGCCGTCCTGCTGTGCCCGGCCCCTGGAGAACTTGCAACTGGAAGTTGGCCCTCTGGCTCAGCATCCTGGATTCCAGGCCTTGGGTGACTTTATTGATGTAATCCTGTATCTCGGCTCTTAGCAGATCCAGCTCATGTTTGAACTCTCTCCTCAGTGCCTCCAGGCCGGTCAGCATCTCCTGCCCATCTGGAACTTCCTCTCCTACTGCGTCCCTATCTTGTGCTCGTTCTTGATCCTTGCTCTGGTCTCCTGCCTCCCCGACCCTGTGCTTCATTTCCTGTGCAGCCAGCTGCACCATATCCACGAGCGCCGTCTTCCTGCCGCAGTGCTTGGCTGCCTGGGACCTCACCTGCTCCTGTACCTGCATGAAGAGAAGTCGTGCCCTGGATGAATCTGCCACCATGGTCCCAGGGAGAGGGGCCGCCTCTGGCCTTTCCGGGGTCTCCTTGCCTCTTTGCTCCTCAACTGACTCCTGGTCTTCCTGCGTCCCTCCGCTTCTTGTGTCTACGGGTGGCTCCATTCCACCTTCAGGAGATCTGGAGAGCTCCTTCAGGCTGTGCTGCCGTATCTGGCCTCCTCTCCGTGTTTCCTGGGTGATGTGCCGACTGAGTAAGCTCGCTGCCTGCTAACTCCTCGGAGGGTCTTCCTGCCCACCAATCGGTTTGCAGCACCTGCATTACCCAGTGTGCCCGGCTGGCACCAGCTTGGCAAGTCCCTCCCCAGGGAGTGCTCTGCTGCTCCCGTTAGGAGCCTCAGAAAGACTCACATCGCTTCACTGGACCTGCACTTCAATGCCAATCTTCAGAGAACGTCACAGAACAAGAGGAGCGTCACGGTCTCCTCAACCCATACAGGTGCTTCCACTCTATAACATCTAGAACTTTTGATGAATTGATCTAATTGATATGCAATTGCATGTATATGTAGTGAAGCTAATAACATTAAATTAAAATAAATTATAATAATTAAGAACTTGGGATAAAATATATTTAACTGATATGTCAGTGGATACCCTGGACCCTGACACACTGCTGCTGTACACCTGAAGACTCTCATTTGCAGACCCTAAATGCATCACTTGACAACAGGGGCCTCTGGGAAAAAGGGTGAAAAAAACAAAGGCCGCCAAGGTGGTGGGGGGCAGTGCGCCCCCAGGAGGTCTGCACTGCTTCAGCCTGTCTGCCGTGTCAATGCGCAAAGTGTGAACAGGTCGAGCTGGGTGGTCCTCGCCGTGGCTTCCCCTTGCAAAAGGCTGCTTTTTGATGCCTATGACCTGGTTGTTTGTCTCTGCTGGATGAGTGTATCATGTCTGGGGACGCCTTTGTGTCCTGGGGGCCACAGCCAGCCGCCTGCCACCTGACAGAGCGAGTGCTTCTTATTCCTCCAGGCTCCAATCAACAACAAGACGGCCACAGCTCCGAAAGCACCCTTGCGGTTCACAATAACACCTCTCTGAGATGGACCAGAGCTAACCACAAGGGGGCGTCCCCTGGGCACCTTCACACACAGCCATGCCGTGGAGACCAACGCACAGTCAGGAATTTGATTCGATCCAAAACTGCGCTCATCAGCTCTTAGTTATTTGCCACTTCTACTCTAATCAACAGCTCCTTTCCCCAAGCCATTCAAATTACTAACATCCACACGTCCCCTGGCAGTGACATCCGTGGCACCTGCACATCATAGATCTGTTATTGTGCTTCAGTGGCTGAATAAGTAAGCACTGCAATGCACCTATTGCACATGGTCATAAAGGTCTTGAATCTTGAAATTTTACAGCTAGGGCTGGGCTCTCAGAAAGTGGCTGGGAGACCAGATCCAGATAACAAGAAATGTTTGGTTTGCAAATTTAGCAAATTCTGAAGGCCAATTTTGAAAACATAAAAGAAAGAAAATAAGAACCATCCTTGTAAACAGTGTTTTGTGACTTTGCATTAAAGCCAAATGAAAATCTCTCCATCAGCCTGACTGATGTCAAAGTGTGACAGTGTGTAGCTCAGTAGGTTTGGGGTCTAGAAGGTTGTGGGTTCAAATCTCATGGCCAGTAGAGTAATCATATCATTGTCTTGCCCCTTGAGCAAGGCCCTAAACCCAAATGTTCCTTCAGCACTGAACCCTGCATTACGTCGCTTTAGACTAAACACACCTGCATCATCCATACTTAAGGTCTGTAGTCTTACAATTTGAGTTGTCAAAATTGAAAGGAAAATTAATCTTAATAGCTTAGTACAGTCGTTAGATACGAGAATTAATTTAGTTGTAGTATGTTTCAGATATTTTACCCAGTAATAAAAAATTCTGCTCCAGCCACTAGCAAAGCAATGTAGACATATTTGAAATATATCTGCACCGCAGTCCTGCACAGGGCAAGTGGTTATGGAAGATGGATGAATGGATGGATGGATTGATGGACGGATGAATGCACAGACGGACGGACAGATGGATGGCTTTGACTGGTTTCCTAATGAACTTATTTTTAAATCTGCATTAATCCGTTTTCAATTCTCTTTGCTTATTTGAGACAAACTTATTCGATCTTATTTGTTTTTTTTTGGCCACATGTTTATTTTACTTAAAATGCAGATAGAGCTTTTAAGCTTTTCGGTGAATTATGAGTTCGTTTGATTCTTACAGTTGCTTGCCGTTTTTGTTACATGTAATGGGCAGACATGTCGCCGCTCCCTGCGCGCGGAGACGGCGCGGCTGAGCGCATGAAGGGCTGCGAGCCAATCGGGAGCCAGTTTCGGCGCAACACCTCTCAGCCGGCATATTTAACAGCAAACGCGCTTCTCTTCACATGGGCGGCCTAAAATCTGGAAATACTGCAGAGCATGCAGTTGTTTGCAAAGAAACCTGGTCATTCAAAAAAGAAAAATAATTGAAGTACTAACTACCTGAATTGTTTCTTTTTATATAGTTTCTGCGGTATATTGTCACGCTTTGCGACCTGTTATTATTACTATTATTATTATTGTTGTTAATATTATTATTATTATACTCAGGTTTACTCTTTCTAAGACTCTTTCTTTATTTCAGCGTGAATACGTTTATATCGCTTGCAATCTCTGGCAAGAAATTACGAAACTTCAGCATCATTACCTGCGGCAACACCCGCCCCTCTGCGCGCTCCCGTGCCTGCGATCTGGGAACGATCGTCAATTTTAAGTTGCCAAGTTTTCTGGGCAGGCTGTCGAGCAAGGATCCGAAGCTAAAATGGTAAGAATATGTGTGATTTGTGACATTTTTCTTTAAAGTGTTTATTAACAATTATTATGTTTAGTGTCTTAGTAGGCCATCTAAAGAATTAATTGCATATGTAAACGAAAATTGTATGCGAGAATGACTTCCTAGGTATGTTACTGTTGAGTACTGTTGATATATATCGATATATCTTTATATAGGTATTGTCAAATAAAGTAACTGTTAGTAACATGAAAAAGTGATGTTAGGCATTTTCGGAAGATATTTATAAATAGTTTTTTATTATTATTTTAGACAACATACATCGATAAAGGTGAAAAGGTATGTAACTAAAGTTTTAACATAAATTGTACTTCTAATCAATGCAAACGTCATATTGTTTATATTTAAATGAGTTGCATGCAGTATGTCATACAAGCCCATAAAACATATGGAAATACAATTACATATTTACAAGCGGAAAATCCGACCGTATGTTGCACACGGTTCTTTCTTTGTTCTCTTTGCCCTTCAGCATGAGCGAGGCAGGTTTATCTGCTTCGACCACATCACCTTCTGGGTCGGCAATGCGAAACAGGTAAAGGCGACCACGCGGAATGCGTTTTTTCTTTTTTTATTTCCGGTTTCCTTCTATTATTTTGAGGGGTGTTCCTTCAGAAAATGACTATTGGCTCTCCGGAGGGGTGGGGATAAATCCGTCAGCTCGTAAGTCAAGCCACTCCATTTTTGCTTTAATTAGATCCACATTGAAAGGCTAAACAATTTCATCTGCGGCTTGGGGGAGTCGGGGGTTAAATTAGACACATCTGGGCTGGTAGAAAGCCTCACAAATAACAGCAGTACAGAGAGGGTGGTGATTTGCCATCATATTAAACAATATTATTATTAACAGTCATTATTTTTGTCATACTTTTAGAAAATGAAAAGTTTACAATTGATGTAGCGTGAGCTTTATTTTTAAACCCAAAAGCAAATGTCATTCATTTATAAGACTGGAATATTCTAGGATTTCATTAAAACATTCCAGGAAATCACAGAGCATAAGGTGCTGCTGCTGCTCAGTGACTCTTGTCAGGATATTTATACGATTTCTGTAACATTTTCAAGTACTTTAATATTAAGTATGTTAGAAAAATAATGGAGACACCAAATAGCAGTAAACTATGTACTTATGATGCAAATCTGAAAGCTTATTATAATGATGTGCTCCATGTGTATAATTAGTGTTCAGTAGTGAATCTGGTTACGGGCCGCACATGGCTGTAAAGCCACCTCTATACTCTTGCTTCCTTCCGTTAGGCTGCTTCCTTCTATTGCAACAAGATGGGATTTGAACCTCTAGCCTACCAAGGACTGGAGACAGGGAACCGGGACGTGGTGTCCCACGTGGTCAAGCAGGACAAGGTGGGACTTAGGAGTTGATCCCAGAGATGTGGGCTGTTTGTCCAACTTAATCAGTACTGTATTTAAGATGGAAGTAAGAGATGAGGTGAGAGCAGAAGTCACTTTAGTCGAATTGACTCAATATTTCTTTTTTTTTTTTTAAATTTTTACATTTTTTTTTTATTTTATTGCCCACCACTCTTCGGAGGACAACTTTATTTTACATTAAATTCAAGACCAAAGAGTGTGGCCACTCCAAACTCACCCGTCCCAGTACCGTGGAAAAAACCCGGGGGGGGATACAGAAACAACGATCGTAACAATAACAGACATTAATCACCATGGGGAGAGGGGGAGAAAAAGGTAAAAAGAAAACAAAGGTAAACAGAAATAATAATAATAATAATAATAATAATAATAATAAAAAAAAAAGGGTTGAGAAAGTCTAGAGTGAGAAAGTCTAACTCATCCTCTGGGCGAGAAGAAAATGTACAGAGGTAACCAATCTGATCTGAGAACAGCAAGTGAACGAGGCCACTGATGATAACTTTATTTTCAATCTGCCTCCTTACAGATAATTTTTGTTTTCTCATCTGCACTGAATCCCGGAAATAAAGGTAAGAAAGTGAAGCTCCCAATGTCTGCATGCAAGGATTTTATAAGACCTCAGACTTGGCATGAGCAGCTGTAGCGCTGAGAGGGTGTAAGTGGGTTACCAAGCCGGGCCTGACTACACCGGAATCCTGCTCCACTTCCTGCCATGACTCGGCCAACCAGAGATGGGGGAGCACCTGGTGAAGCATGGCGACGGGGTCAAAGATGTCGCCTTCAGTGTGGAGGACCTCGACTTCCTAGTTCAGGTAAGGGCACACTCTGAAGACCAGCAACCATTCGGCTCTGCCTTACTGCCATCTCAGTGACGGGGAGCCGTTCTTCTGTCTCGACGTGCTGCAGAAAGCCAAAGAGCGGGGAGCCGTCATCCTGAAGGAGCCCCATGTGCTGGAAGATGGACATGGTTCTGTGAAGATGGCTGTTCTTCAGACTGTAAGTGACAGTGACGTCACTGCTGGAGTGCTACCCTGTAACTGGCAGATGTCTTGAACTACCCATGTCTGCAGAGTGGTTAGAGCTTGGCTGTGTCTCCCATGAGCTCAGACAGCAGATCAGGGTGGCCCTGCTTGAGGGGGTCTGTGCCGATGCAGTGACACGTAGGCCTTTTGCTCTCTTTGCAGTATGGTGACACCACACACACCCTCGTGGAGAGAAAGGCTTACACAGGCCTCTTCTTGCCTGGCTTCCACTCGCCTCCCTTCCAGGATCCACTGCTTGCTAAGCTGTGAGTACGGAGGGCGTGGCCAGCAGGGGCGGGATGTGAGAACGGAGGGCGTGGCCAGCAGGGGTGGGATGTGAGAACGGAGGGCGTGGCCAGCAGGGGCGGGATGTGAGAACGGAGGGCGTGGCCAGCAGGGGCGGGATGTGAGAACGGAGGGCGTGGCCAGCAGGGACGGGATGTGAGAACGGAGGGCGTGGCCAGCAGGGGCAGGATGTGAGAACGGAAAGCCTGGCCAGCAGGGGCGGGATGTGAGAACGGAAGGCCTGGCCAGCAGGGGTGGGATGTGAGAACGGAAAGACTGGCCAGCAGGGGCGGGATGTGAGAGCAGAGGGCGTGGCCAGCAGGGGCGGGATATGAGAGCAGAGGGCCTGGCCAGCAGGGGCGGGATGTGAGAACGGAAGGACTGGCCAGCAGGGGCGGGATGTGAGAACGGAGGGCGTAGCCAGCAGGGGCGGGATGTGAGAACGGAGGGCGTAGCCAGCAGGGGCGGGATGTGAGAACGGAGGGCGTGGCCAGCAGGGGGGGGATATGAGAGCAGACTCCTCAGGGACATACGCCTGGGTCCTGACTGAGTATTGCTGTCCCTTACCCCTGCAGGCCAAGTGGCAATCTGAATTTCATCGACCATGTGGTCGGGAACCAGCCGGACAGCGAGATGATCTCGGTGGTGGAGTGGTAAGGGTGCTGGAGAGAACACAGCAGCAGACAACCACTAACACACTCACGGGACACCAGCGCATACTGACAAAGAGCATTAGCACATGATACACTGTTCTGAGGAGCACTGTTAACGTCTGAACTACACACCAGGACCTGCACTGATAGAGCCTGTTAGCACAATAACTGTTTTGACAAGTGCAGTCAGAATTCTGTTATCTAATATAAGTTTCAGCCTCATGGAGTGAATGAGTGCACACATGGGGGGGTATTATTATTAAGTAAGCACTTGGCACAAGCCCAGACTACTCTTAATGTTTCTCTACTTTTCTGGGCCTCCTTTGCATCTGGAGATATTTAACCCTCCAGCCTTTCTCAGAACTGCTTCACTACTTCTACTCACTGGAGTAAAAGAATTTACAGGCTTTCAGTTCCTGCATCCAGGGGTGCCCACGGGGTCAGATGGGGTTACAGTTGCTGCAGGGCTGGCATGGCCTCTCTTATTGCTGATTGGTTGTGATGGTCTCACAAAGGTACCGGATGAATTTGCTGTTCCACCGCTTCTGGTCGGTGGATGACAAGCAGCTACAGACAGACTTCAGTGCCTTGCGGTCTATAGTGGTAGCCAACCATGAGGAAACAGTGAAGATGCCCATCAATGAGCCAGCCCTGGGGAAACGCAAGTCCCAGATCCAGGTGAGGAAGCACTCACAGCTCACCCTGAAGCATGTGATTCTGTGACCAGAAGGTTATTGGCTTGACTGCTGTCGGACCCTTGAGCAACAGCCCTAACCTCAAAAACTCCTGGTGTGCTGAAAAAATGGCCAACCCTGCACTCTGACCTCAAGCTGCACTCTTGTAGGAGAACAAGAGGGAATTCGTGAAAATTCACGGAATTCCAATGTACTCATGCTTGTCAAAGTGGCAAATCAAGTATTATTTTTGTTTGTTGTTGTTCTTGTTATTTCTAGGAGTATGTGGAGTACTACGGTGGCCCGGGGGTCCAACATATCGCCATGAACACGTCAGACATCATCACAGCTGTGAGTCAACCTCACGGCCTCTTGACTCGGGCAGCTACACAAAATATTCCAGCTTCAATTTAGCAATGCCATGGTCGTTTGGGTCCAGAAATGATAGCAGCCAATCAGAATGAAATCCATATTTCTTTAGACTTTATGGTATTCAAGCATTGTAGCAAGACACATTTGTATAGACATATGGACATTCTGTCATATTTAGTACAATTACCATAGATATATCACAATACAGTGGAAGCAGAACAAAGCAACAGAAAAATTGGAATATCTGGTGATTATTGTATTGTTCCACTTCTTGAATATGCATGCATGCTGTATAGAGGTTTTTTTTTTTTTTTTACTGTTTTTTTAGATCCGTAACCTGAAGGAACGTGGAATGGAGTTCATGACCGTTCCGGAAACTTACTACCAGCAGCTAAGAGAGAGACTAAAAGTGTCTAAAGTGAAGATCAGCGAGGATTTGGATGTTCTGCAGGTGAGGGGCGGCACACGGAACTCAGCACAGGACACCAAAAGACGGAGCTCAGAGAAACACTGACATTCAGTGACCCCCCCCCCCAAGGACAGCGATATTCCGGCCTTTATGACCTATTCCAAATGGGATTCAATAAGTAATATAGCAGTTTTACACAGAAGAACCAGATTATGTCCTGCTTTTCAGTCAAAATACAAACTGAGCTCTCCCATAACCTCCTGAGACCCAAGGGAAAAAGTGTCCTTCAGTTTTAGGTTATTTGTCTTTGGAGGAAATAAGACATCTTACAATTTAGATTTTTTCAAATGTATTATTTTTTTTATTTCACAGCATGTCCTCTTTAGTGTACAACAGGAATAAATACGTTTCCTTACATCAGTAAAAAGATTGATGCAAAAACAAAATGTCCACTACATTGGACATAAATGAATGGGTGGGGTCTCAGGAGGTTATACTGTGCAGTGACCATGGAAAAAACATCAGGGATTCAGCAGCTATTGCTGCTTGGACCCCTAATAGTGGTTTTTCAGGAGCTGAAGATCCTGGTGGATTATGACGATCATGGGTACCTGCTCCAGATCTTCACCAAGCCTGTACAGGACCGGCCTACTGTTTTCCTGGAAGTCATTCAGCGACATAACCATCAGGTGTGTTTCAGGGCAAAGCCCTATGCCAGTGCTTATTGAGGCGTTGGTGCTTAATCAAGCCAGTGCCACACTGCTTCCTGTACAGAAGAGCTCTAACTGCAATTCCAGGGTTTTGGCGCCGGAAACTTCAAGTCCCTGTTTGAAGCCATCGAAGCCGACCAGAACGCCAGAGGAAACCTGACTGTGCTGACCCCCACTGGCCTGTCAGAGTCCATGTGAGAGCCTGCCAAAGTGCCAGACACCAAACGCCCTTATACCCCACATGGGGCTGACACCAAACGCCCTTATACCCCACACGAGGCTGACACCAAAGGTCCTTATACCCCACACGAGGCTGACACCAAAGGTCCTTATACCCCACACGAGGCTGACACCAA